TGGGCAGGAAGGCCGGGAAGGAGTCGTGGGGATGAGGCGGGCATGTTCTGCTTGCGGTACTGGGGGGACTTTCCACCCCAAAATTCTCGTGTGGGAGTGGGGTGGGGGGAGCTGGAGACTTTATTAGTAAGGTTCTGGCAGCAAGTTGGGGGGGGGTGGGCTGAGTGGGTTTTATTTAGCTTTTCCATCGTTCCTGTGTAACCGTGTGTGCCTTGCTTGCGATTTGAAGGCCTACATTTTCCTTTCCTTGTTTTACCCTTAATTATTTTTTTTTTTTTGGCCAACCCTCTTCTTTACCCTACTCCTTCCGCCCCCCCCTTTGGAAGGAACGAAGGGTTTGGTGGCCCTGGCAAGGGTGGTTGGACGCGCTGCCCTTCTGGTTGTCATTGCTCCTTCGGGACTTGCGAGAAAGATGGCAGTTGGTGAAAGATCTTTCTCAGTTGCGCTCCCAGGCTTATAGTGAGAGGAAATGAGACTGAAAATCTGCCATGTAGGCGACCTGCGTACTCGGGAGGGTGATCTCGATAAACATGGCCTTGGAGCACACTTAACAGCTATGACCAAGCTCATTACGTAGCAAACAGGAGTTGCTTGTCCAGCACTGCAGAGGCCTTGTGCTGGACACTCTTAAATCTGCTATTTAAAGGAAGCTTGGCTTGGAAAAGGTTTAATTTTTTTTTTTTTTTTGTCTTCCGAGGTTGGCAGCAATAAATACAGTGGCATAACAGTATATAATTAATTTGAGACTAGAGATTTTTAAACTGGTTGAAAGTAATAATGTATTCATCCTAGGCCTTGTGAAAAAGAAAGAACTAATTTAGGAGAGTGGCATTTTCTTCCTTTAGATCTCAAGTAGTTAGGCCTCCATTCTCAAGGATTAGCAATAAACATATCATGTGGCTTCAGTTATTCTTAATATGGCAGACTAGGTCTCAGTTAATGAGTTGCCTTTCAACCTTTGGTCCTTCCTTTGCTTACATTCTTGTTTTCCCTCCCCACTGAGATTCAGGAATATTTTCTTATATATTGCAGTGCATTTTAACGTTTAGTTTCTTTTTGCCTGTGGAGAGAGATAGTTGTATCCTTGCTTTATCTTAAACTCACATTTCACACTCTGAAGTTAAGATAGGTTCATTTTTTTTTCAGAGAGAGAGGTTCTGGTGTTTCTCCACTGTGAGTTTTCCAGTTTAACACAAAGACATTGGAGTAAATGCTTGGGCAAGGCTGATATAGTTCAGAACTGAGCTGTTCTTGGTGTTTAGTGAGTGAGTTTGAGCGTGGAGATTTATATACAGCTACTTAACACCGACCAAAGTGTTGTCACAGCCGTTGGCATGCCTTAAATTTTTTGTAATCTCTTTTTGTGTAAAGGCTTTGATTATAGGCAGATGCTTCTCTTTTAAATCGGGGGTTTTGCATAAGTCAAAGAAGTACTTATGTGCTTCTTTTGTGAAGTTTTTGGACACGTGCATGGAAAATCTTTTTCTTGGCACGTTATCTTGGAAGCTTTAATGCATCACAATTTGTTATATAGGTCTATTTAAGGTGTGAAAATTTTTGTAACCATTAACAGCAATCATACTTCATAAATAAGCTCTATAAAATAACCTCTGAGCCAGCCAGCATGCTGGTTAAGAACCATCTGAAAGTTTATTTCCTTCTCAGTGTCGATTCTTTTGTAGACTAACCAAATGCAGGCTGGTTTCCCACTGTCAGGAGGGAGTTGTAGGTGACTTCTTAGAATGGGAAAGTGTGCTCTCTTTGCTCTCACGTGTAACAAATTCTCTCAGTTCTGTCCCAGAAATGATGGCATCAGTAATACTAGAGAAGAATGTTTTGAGTCAGTCTGAATTTACATTTGAAAAGAGGACTGTTAGCAAATCAGTGGAATAACCTTAGAATTAAATCAGTGGAATAACCTCAGATTTGAATCAGTGGAATAGCCTTAGATTTAATTCAGTTTAACTGGAATCTCATTTTATTGTGAAGTGTCAGTTATTGCCAGCTAAGCTGATAAACTGCAGCAGGGGCAGTGTTGGAGGGGTGCTGCAGAGCTTGCTGCTTTCAGGTCAGCCTACAGCCATATTGTGTGTAAGAATGGAGAACCAAAACTGTGCCTTTTAGATAAAATAGATCACTTTTTCCCTCTGGATAGCAGTGGAGCAAATATTTATAGTGCTTGGCTGCTCCAGTGTCCAGTCTTGCCATCAGTTCTTCCATGTGGTTCATTTCATAAGAAAACTCATTGACCCTTTGAACCTCCAGCTGACCTCAGTGAGACACTGGCTTTTATTAACCAAAAAATGTGGTGGTCATTCTGCCCTGAAGTTAGCATGATCAGCAGCAGACATCTTCAGTAAAGGTGTCTGTCCCTGTAAGTGAAAACCTATACCTCATATTATTTTATCCTGAAAGAAAATTCAATGCTTAAATGAATTTTTAAAGTTGTATTTCAGTCTTTTCCTTTCAAAAATTGCTGATGACGCAGTGCAGCTGGGGGATCTGATAGACATACTGATGAGGAAATAAAGGATATTTATAGGAAAGGGGAGAGACTTAATGAAACAGTTGCAACAAAGAAAACATTTAAAAACGTACTTAGAAGATTTTAAGTAAAAGTATATCTACCATACTAAACTTTTCCAAAAATGTAGCCCCTTCTTCCTAGTAATATGTTGATTTGAGTTCTGGGTTTGGGGTTTTTTTTTGACTCTTAATCACTGTAATTTATAGTTTCTCTTAGGAAGTGATGTAAAGAAAAAATGTAGTTAACATCTGAAGAGATAAATCTTGTACTTAAGGTAATTCAGAAATTTATTTCAGATTTGCTTCATTAAAAAAATAATAAACATCCCCCCCCCAGGTACTAGTGTAAAAAGATGGCTTTGGGATTTTTGTTGCTTTCAGTTTGTTTCATTACTGTTTTTTTATTTACTAGAGGGATGACTGGATCAGGTACAGATGCTTTGGATTTGCTACCTAAATAAAAATCTTATTTTAAGCATTGGGATTTCTTATGAGTTCCTGTTTTGCATTTTTTATTAATAAAAATGTGAATTAGGATAAAATTTGACCTGATAGCATTTGGAAAAGTACCTTCTGCTGTGTTTGTATGATACTAATGGAAGAGCTATAACTTTTTTGGTGGCATTTTAAAATATGTTATTTATAGTATTTACATTAAGTAATCATTTTATGCCAGTCAGTGTTCAGTCAGTTTTGACCCTTACAAATTATTGCCAGAAGTTGATGTTTTGTCTAATGCATTAATGAGTAGTTACAGTTAGTTCCTAACTTTCTGAAGTGTATTTAATGAACTGGGCAAAGAAAACTCAAGGGAGAGAGAAGGAGCAGTAACTTCTGAGCTGTTCTGCTAGTTAGGAGAGTTTTAGAAATCATTAGCTTCTTACTCTCTTGAATCTTCATCAAAAGCATTTGAGAGGATGATTTTTCCCAGGTACTTTATTGAGGTTTTTTCCTGTAAGACTCGAGTTTAAGAACAATTTTTTGTTTTTTATTGCTTTGGTTCCAGAATTACAAATAGACTTGCAGGCTTGGCTGGACTTGTGTACACTCTGTTCTTCACTCTTGTTTTTCATTTGAGTTATACTGGTTGACAAGAAAGGAGAGAAGACATAGAAGGGTAGACAGTGCAATAGCTATTTCTGTGTAAAACTAACCTTGAGAGAGATTAAAGAAACTTTTATCTAATCCTGTTTTAAGTGTACTATCTGTTTGAAGAAGAATGCTATAGCTGTACCCACAGCATTGTCCCAGGGGAGGAAACCTTGAGCTAGAAGCCTAGAGATGAGTTCTGAGGCAGTGACAAACGACTGTATTGGCAAGAAACTTTAAGATGGTTTTGGGTTTAGAACTGACTCAGAGCAGGTTTGTGGTACTTCAAGAAGTTGTGCAAATTCCAGAGGAATTAAATGCCTTTTTTTTTTTGTTTTTTTCTCCTTACAACTAACACTGACTTTCAGGTTTGGAGCAAGTCGTGGAGGTCCTCTTCCTCCAAAGAAATTTGGTAATCCTGGGGAACGTTTGCGTAAGAAAAAATGGGATTTAAATGAACTGCCCAAGTTTGAGAAGAATTTTTACGTGGAACATCCAGAAGTGGCCAGGCTTACTCCGGTAAGGCTTGGGATTCTACCTCTTCCATTTTACCCACAACAGCAAATGCTGCAAGTGGGAGCACTTGTCCTACGAGGCCTTGGACAGTGTGTGGTAGAAGTATCTCTAATAATCTTGTTTGGTGTATATTGACTCTGCAGGACACCAGTTTTGGTTGCCTTCAGTATTTACCATTAGCAGACATGATGCTTCTGCCCTTAGCTGATTTTATATGATATTTTACATTTAGTTGTTTTGTAATTTATCATTATAGAGCTTGTCTGGTCTAGCTGTTAAGCCAGCCTGGAGAACTTGGGAGCTGCAATATACTGCAATACTGAGGAGGCCCTGAAAGAAACTAAAATAATGAACTAAGAGTGGCATAAATACATGAGAAATGTGTGAAAGTAATATTGTGTCACAATATTTCAGGCTGAAAGAGGCTGTGGGGGATCTCTAGTGTAATTCTCTGCTCAGAGCAGGGCTAACTGGAAAGCAGGTTGCTTTGTGCCTTGTCCTTTTGAGTTAAAGTATCCCAAGGGATGGGGACTTTATATCCCCTCTGGGCTGTGTGAGTGTCCCAGGGCTTAATGTGTCTCATGGTATTTTCCCCCCCACTAATAATTATTTGCAACATCTTCTCTGTAGTGACTAATAAGTAGCAGTTGAATACCCCTGTTGGTCCTCTCTCCCCATCTAAACAAATCCAGTGCTTCCAGTCTTTCTTCATGCAGCCTGTAGTCCAGCCTCTAGCTTTCCCCCCATGATTGCACGTGCCCCACTAAAACAATGTCCTTTGTACATGGGGAGGCTCAAAACTGGATGTAGTACTTTGTGTTTACTGTGGAGATAAAGTAATCTCCCTTTCCAACTTGAGTATAGAGTCTTTTTTTCCCTCTTAAATGCCTCTTTATGTTTAGAAATTAAGAGATTTTCATTCTTAACACAAGGAAACAAAATGTTCTTATCCAGTTACATAGGCTTAAAATGAGATTGTTCCATGGCATAAAGGAATTGAAGGAGGCATTGGCTTTTTAAAGACACAAAACTTGAACTACTGAACCACAGTTAGTGTTAGCTGCTGTAGCTGTCTTTGCCTTGACCAGCTAAAAGCATTTTCATGTTTTTCCCAGAATATGTTTTCCTTTTTTACCTTTTCATTCAAGCTTGAGGTTCTCACGAAGAGTAAATTTATTGCTTTGGATAAAGTGCATGTTTGGTATCAATGTATATCTTCTCTGTGGATTTCTAATGATCATTAGAATAAGATCATGAATTGTGGAAGCATATTGCAAAATGCATTTGGATTTGCAAGATGACTTAGATAAAGATAAGCATCATTTTAGGATTAAAAAAAGTGTTTTATGTGGATACACATTTCAGAAATGTTTTAAGAAGTGCTGTTATTTAAAACAAAATTCTGAGGTTTTAGGGTATCATTATGATAATGCCTGGGCTGGTTTAGTGCAGAAAAGAAGTGCTGGTTCCAAAAAGACTCCAAGCAACATTTCTGAGTTGCAAGTTGTCCAGCAAGAGCTCTGTATTTAATCATCTCTGAAATGTTTTAATTGAAGGATGAGGACTGCCCTGTCTTCTGCTTGTTTGTACTGTATCAGGGCCTATTCATTTTGTTTAGTTCTTAGCATTGTCACATAAAACATGTTTCTTATCTGATCCTCTCTGTTTCTAATCAGTTTTGAAGCTGTTGGTCATTTCTGGCCTCTGCAAAAAGGATGTAATTCATAAAAATACTACATTAATACCCTTTTCACTAAAAAGGGCTCATTGGAGGAGTGTGCTCTACATTAGTCCTCCCAGACTATGTAGAGAGCTCATACCTCTGAATGTGGGAACAGCTGTGTGATAGCTCAGTCTTAAAATACTATCTTCAAGAAAGCAGTCATTTTTAGATGTTTCAATTCAGCTCTCTAATGAAGCTGTTATCCAGGGGTGTGAAGTGAATGAATAGTTAGAAACCTGCACTTTAACTCCCTGCTGGCATTCAGCATTTGCCTTTGCTGTTCTTTTCCACCTGAGTAGTACGAAGTGGAAGAGTTGCGAAGGAAAAAGGAGATAACGATTCGAGGGATGGAGGGCTGCCCCAAGCCTGTGTTTGCCTTCCACCAGTGCAGCTTTCCACGTGAGTATTTTTGTCACTCTTTAAAACAATGCAGCTCACTTCAAAACCTACAACTGTTTAGGCCTATTCTGTTTTCTGAAAGGTGTTCTGAAGCTGCAGTTATCCTTTAAGAAATTTTTCGTTTTCTTAAATTCTTCAGAGTATGTGATGGATGCCTTGATGGACCAGAACTTCACAGAACCCACTCCAATTCAGTGCCAAGGCTTTCCTCTGGCTCTCAGCGGCCGTGACATGGTGGGCATTGCACAGACTGGCTCTGGGAAGACCCTAGCAGTACGTATCCTTGCCTTTTGTTTAGTTTTCCTAGCCCCTTTGCAGAAATGACCCTTGGCTACTCCTTATTAGGTTTGGGGGCTTGTTCAGTACCACAAGCATGAAGTGAGATGATTGCATGTTTTTCAAGCTTGCTTTATTGTGTCATGGATGAGACAGTTGAGTCTCAACTCAACTAGCCTGTCTTACTCACAGGCACAAATTTTGTGTGTCTTTCTTTCTGGATGCTTAGTCATTTCTCCTTGATCTATGCTTACACTGTGGTTTAAAAACCAGTATGCATTCTTGAACATATTTGTCTTATTAAATGTGCAAGTTTAAAAAATGGTTGAGTCTTCAAGGTACACGTTAATTTTGTCTGCATGGTTAAGAAGCAATTTTATTCTTTATGAAAAGCATTATTTAGGGTCAAGATTACTCACTATTAACAGACTCCAAATTTAAATGAGCCTTCCTTTCAGAGGTGCTGAGCAGTTACGTTTTGTACTCATGTCAAAGCAGATATGGTTGGTCAGCAGCTCTGAAAATATTCTGTTGGATAAATGCAAGTATGTTTTTGCAGAATCCTGATTTTTGTACAGTCAAGCTTTCTTGCAGTCTTTTACATCAGCTGTTGGGTTCTTGAAGGGAGGTTAGGTTAAGCAGGCTCTTGCTGTGAAGCATTTGTCATGGCAAGAGGTCACTGGTGTTGAATACTGAAGTGCTGTGTCTTGACATAATGTTCGTCTGTTTCAGTACTTGTTGCCTGCAATTGTTCACATCAACCACCAGCCATATTTGGAGAGAGGGGATGGCCCAATTGTAAGTGCTTGTCAGTTCTCTTCTTTTTTTGTGTGGATGGCATGGTGGTGGTAATGAGCTGTGTGCTTTATTGAACTGGTATATCAGAGTAGAGAAATGTTTACTATCATAATGTGAGCATCCCACTCAGCTGAGATTCTGTGCAATTGCTGACATAGTCTAAAGATATTTAAACATTTTAGCTAATAAAGAGCAGATGGTCCAGCTTGGCTTATGGTGTCTGTGTGGAGCCCTTAAGTTAGGGGGGTGTGTGCAGCTTGCCTCTCCTGAATCGATTCCTTTTGCAGTGCCTGGTTCTAGCACCAACCAGAGAGTTGGCCCAGCAAGTGCAGCAAGTGGCTGATGACTATGGCAAGTGTTCAAGACTGAAGAGTACCTGCATCTATGGAGGAGCACCCAAAGGTCCCCAGATCAGAGATCTAGAAAGAGGTAATTTTAAAACAGGTGTTTGCAGTTTCTGGAGGAGGTGGTATTGTAAAATCTCTGTAAAAATAAGACTATCAAAACCTCTTTGGAAGGGAGTGTGCCTGAATGAGTGGCTGTCTCTTTCTCCAGTTAAAAGAGTAGTTTATGGGGTAGTTCTCTTTGTTGTACAGTGACTTATTTGATCTTACATTTCCTTTTGGTTTTCCCTTCGAACTTCCCACTTGTGAAGGTGAGATCATCAGGAAATAGGAATGGGAAAAGGTAACTTAGCAGAAAGAGAACAGGTTATTTTGAGGAAATATGCAGTAACAGCAGGTTTAAGGAATTATTTATCTTGAGCTAGATTTCAGGTTTTCCACCTGGGCTTGTTCAAATGATCAAACTTCATTTCTGAATGTATAGAAACTTCTTCAGACAGTGGGGTTTAGTTTTCTTTCATTGCTCTTAAGCACCAAGCTCTATTTCTGTTCATTTACCCCATAACATTCTGTACCTGCCTTTCTGTACATAGCAAGAGGCTGGAGTTAGGAATGAAGAGGAACTATGTTTCTACAGCAACCACTATAACTCAGTAGTGCTCAAAGGACCTAACCTTCATTTTGAGGGCTAGTTACATGTAACTTCAAATGCAGGAATGTGCTGATGGCTTTCATCTTCCCTAGATGAAAAAAATGTAATAGAATTATTTCAAAAGATCTAAAAAGTATTACCAAGGTAAGCTTACGTATGCAAATCTACTCAAGAAATAAGAAGATCATACTGCAGTTTGCAGAGTCATTATTAAAAAAAAAAAACAAAAAAACAAAACAAAACAAAACAAAAAAAAAAAAAAACAAAAAAACAAAAAAAAAAAACAAAAAAAAAAAAAAACAACAAACAAACAAACAAAAACCAAAAAAACAAACCATGATAAAGGCATGTGTGGTAGAAGGCTGTGGGGTTGGGTCTGTTCAAGAAAATAATACATTCCAGTTCAAAAGTAGCAGCTTCAAAGGGAGAGTCAAAAGGTAAATGTAGAGACTAGCATGGTGGGTTTTTGCACACCTTTCTGGAGTGCTGTAAAATAGGTGTTCTGCTCATGAAGGAAACCCTCTGGTTAGAGGATGTGGACGGGTTTGGTGCTTTCAGTCCTTTTGGGTGTTACTGTCTTTGGATGATTGCTTAATACTTCCTGCAGCAAAGATTGTTGAACAGATAAATGTCCAGAAAACATTTTTTTTTTTCCTTTTTTTTTTTTTAATTTTTTTTTTTCAGAGTTGTGATATTTGGAGTATGTAATGAATTTACTTTGAAGGAATACATCATTGTCTGTAACTGTGATTGCAGTTTATTCAGTCTTGCTGGTAGACCAGTGGCTACATTAGAAATCTAAATAAAGCTTGAGCTTTATAAGAACTAGAAGGATGCCCTGCTCTGTCAGCTCTGAAGAGTCCAAAAACAAGATGATGTGGGTTGCCACAAAATACTCTGCATCTGTATCAAGAAAGCTGTTGGGCTTTTGCTCTTTTTCAACCCCTACTTCCCTCCTCTTACCTTTAATCCTGCCTTCTGTGTACATTTCAGTGACACTGAAGGACTCAACTGTAAGACTTGAGAATTAGTGGAATTCAGTCCCTCCTTTTAAGGAATTTATAAATTGTTGTACCTTACAGTAGTTTATGAATATTTGAATTCTGCTTTTATGCCAGCAAGTACAGGCAGGGTGGTTGTCTGTCATTTTTAGTGCCTAACTACTCAGAATTAGAGCCCATACTTAGACTTCATATATTCTGAAAAATAAAAGGCAAAATCTAAGGTGGAAGTGGAAGTAATCTGACCTGTATGACAAGAGCAGCCCTTCATATTTGATTAACTTGGGGAATTTAGGTCTTATATTTCTAGAGAGCTCTCTAGACTGCATAATTCTGGAAGAAGGTGGGTGGGTCAAGCTTGAGTAAAAGCTTATTTTACTTCTGATTTCTGGACAGCTCTTCACTGGTGTGTTCTGACAATGAGCTTTTAGCTTCTCTACTGCATTTATTATTCTAATGGCACTGTAACAGTAATTTCAGAATGGGGAAAAAAATATTAAAAGAAATAAGGGTTTCTACTGAAATGACTCAATCTTGGGTACGAATGAGGGTGGTGGTTTTTTTTTTTTTTTTGAAACGTTTTTCCTCTGGAAGGTGATTCATTCTGACTAAAAATACCAATTGACATTCAAATGAAGAGCCTTACTCTTTTTCCTTCTTCTGGTTTGCAGGTGTGGAGATCTGCATTGCTACCCCAGGTCGCCTGATCGACTTCCTGGAGGCAGGAAAGACCAACCTTCGTCGGTGCACCTACCTGGTGCTGGATGAAGCAGACAGGATGTTGGACATGGGCTTTGAACCACAGATCCGTAAAATCGTTGACCAGATAAGGGTGTGTGAGCCCTGTAAAAGGACAACCTCCTTTGGTTTTCCATTCAAGAGTCCTTAAAGTACCTTAAAAAAATATGCATTTTCCCATTTCCTTAGCCTGACAGACAGACCCTGATGTGGAGTGCCACCTGGCCCAAAGAAGTGCGCCAGCTTGCCGAGGACTTCCTGCAGGACTATGTCCAGATCAACGTGGGGAACTTGGAGCTGAGTGCCAACCACAACATCCTGCAGATAGTGGACGTGTGCATGGAAAGCGAGAAGGACCATAAGTAAGCTGGTTTTCCTCCAGTCTCACTTGTTTTGGTTGTACTTAAAAATATACATTGCTATGTAAGCCAGATGGGAATTCCAAATAGTGAAAGGACTTGCAGTATTATTCTACAACATTCAAAAGGTTAAATAAGTCCTGTAGTTAACTATAATCTGTTGTGTCTATCTTAACCACACCGTTGCACAACACACCTACATTCTATGTAAGAGGTACCGAATTAGGTGGCTGTGTGTTGTACATGTTCTCAGTACCAGCTGAGAGTGCTCCTATGCTGAGGGGGGTGTGTGTGGAGATAAATCTTGGCTCTCGTGTCTGTTTTAGACTGATACAACTGATGGAAGAAATCATGGCAGAGAAGGAAAACAAGACCATCATCTTTGTGGAGACAAAGAGGCGCTGTGATGATCTCACTCGAAGGATGCGCAGAGATGGGTGATTAGTTTCCCCCCTCCCTCCCCTTCTTTCCAGTGGAAAACAGAAATCCTAATCAAAATCAGTAAGGTTTGAACAATCATGAAGCTGTTGTTAGGAACAACTTGACCATTCTTGTCTTGGCTGAATTCAGTCTTCGTTTCCCAGCAGATTTGAGCCCATCGAGGCATTAGTGCAACAGAGTTTGCAAGCTGTGGAGCTTTTACTGTACCAGAATAATGATATGCTGATACAGGACTGTGGCAAATGTGATTTGGCTTAGATGGTTGGTTTTGTAGGTGGTGGGTTTAACGCATGAGAAACAAACCAGTATAATGCTAAGTAGATAGAGGCCAGAGAAGGACGGGGAATAAAATATTCTTCCAGCCTTATTTTTTGCCTTTTTACCAAAATGCCAATAAAGCTTCCTGTTTCCTTTAAGGTATGTACTTTTCTGTCTGTACTAATGTGCATCTCTGTTTGGCAGTTGGCCAGCTATGTGTATCCATGGAGACAAGAGTCAGCCAGAAAGAGATTGGGTGCTTAATGGTGAGTCCAGCACTGAGGGGAGAATAACTCGGGTTGCTGTACATAATTTACGAAGACATGCTTTTCTCCAGTCTTATTTTTTGTCTCTATACCAGATAGATATATTTCAAAAGAACTTCCTTTGCCTTTGTGCTGTTAATTTCAGTACTTGCATTTGCCTTTTTTGTTTTTCCTCTTCATTTTTTTCTTTTTTGAGAAAACACACTGAGAAAATGGCTTAACCCAGAGAGCTTGATCTTAAAAAATAGTTGCCACATTATATCCTGACTTGCTGGGGTTTTTGAAACTGATCCATCTTACCTAAATTCTGGAAAGTAAACATTTATATGTGATTCAAGTTCAGGTAACTTATCTTTTTGAAAGATCTTCCTTCATAGCATGCTTTGTTTTACAGAGTTTCGTTCTGGAAAGGCTCCTATCCTCATTGCTACCGACGTTGCATCTCGTGGGCTAGGTTTGTACACATAAACCACTCTTGCCTACTGCTGCATATTTTTCTTCTTTGGACTGATATATGTTTTCTTTTTAAAAAAAAAAAAAAATTCAAAGCGTGATTTTCCCCCACATGTGAAATACGTTTTTTAACATTAATCTTTTTTTTTTCTTTCATATTCAAAGTCTCTTCCTGCTCCTAATGAACAGGCTTTGGTCTGCAGCAAGGCCTAGGCATGACCAATCGATCGCCAAGAGGGAGAAGAGACGTCCAATTATGCAACCCAACCCTTCCACCACACTCACCTCTTCCCCAAATCCAGCTTTTGTCGCTGGACGCTAGGGATGGTTTGCTCTCAGTTCAGAGCCTGGCAGATAAAGTTCAAGTAGGAAGTTGTGGGAGAGCATTTCAACAGCAAATAGTTAATATTCTCCCCATATGACACGCCACAGATTTGAACATAACCAACCCCAGCGTACACACACGTTTACCCCCACAGATGTATTTGCATCTGAGAAAGCACTGCCCCAGATCTTTGGTCTTGATGTGTAACCTTCCCTCCTCTGTGTTCCTTCTAGGCAGGACCACTGAGATCCTGTGTGGCCTTTAACGTTATGTTACCCAAATGTGTAACTGAATCAAAACTGCACAGCTCTGTCCTGATGACAGGAAAATGATCTGTCTGCATGCATCAGTTGTGCCCCCTTTTTTAATAAGGATATTTGTCTTGTGAAACCTTGTGTGCTAAGCACAGTCCTTACACATCTGCCCACTCTAGAAGAGGAGGATGGCTTCTGAAGTGCTCTGAGTTTAATAACAGACGTTGAATACTCACCCCGAGTTTGGCAGAAGACAAACTGCTTGGGGGTCAATGTCTTGTCATAGTAAACTTTTAGACAAAATTGCTGTAAATTTCTACAGGGAAGCTCAGAGAGATTTAGTTTGTTAAAAATATCTGAGCTCTTTTTTTTTTTTTTTTCTTCCATATTCTGAAAGGGTGGCTGGGCTGTGCATCATATGGTCACTTCAATACAGGCAGACCATGAGTAGACTTCGTAGCTTTTGTTCACATAACCTTCACCCCTCCTTCCCCTCCCCCCTCAAAAAAACATCCAACACTTCCTCGTGAGGTGATTATATGGACTTCAGTCTCTGCCCTCTAGGGTCATGTCTGGACCTGTGCAGGTAGAACTTGGGCCTGTTGGGAGAAGGGACTGAGGCCTGAAACCAGTTTGTATGAAAGAGAGCTGCTTTCTCTAGCAGCATTTTTTAAACGGGCTTGCTATGTGCTGGTAGCTTCTTTGTGCATCTTGCCTAGACATTTAAAACAGCCTCATCCCCCTCAAAAAAACAAAAAAAGAACCAAACCAAACAACCCGCTCCCCCTAAAACTACTCAATTGGATAACACTTCAGAAAACCAAGTCTCCCCACTTCCCCTCCTCCACTTCACCTGAGCGAAGGGGGAAAGGTTCCAGAGTCTGTTTCTTGTTACTGAACAACATCTCTGCTTGTTTTGGGGCCCTGAGTTTGCTGCTTCTTAAAAATCAGTCACTTAACTGGCAAACTTCCACTTAACTGGACGACTTCCTCCAAGATCCTGGAAAGTGAAGGCTGCTACCTAAATAACATAAAACAGGGGCGCGCGCCTTTTGGCTGAGTCACCAGGGCTTTCCCTCTTCCTAATGGAACATTGGTTTCAAAAAAGCTTCTTCCAGGTAAGTTCTGAGTCCCATAATGACTTCTTTGTGATAATTCCCTGGAGTGAGGTCCTCTCTCTGCACTGATTTTTTTTTTATTTTTTTACTTTTTTTTTTTTTGTTCAGTCTATTAAACTAAAACCATTGAATTTGTTTTGTTTTGTTTTCTTTAACAGAAGCTTTGATATCAGCTGCAGATCATTCTCAGTGCAGGGGGTGGGGGCACATCTACATTGATGGTCTAAACAGCTCTCTAGACTAGCCTGTTTGCTAGTTCTCTCTCTCCTGATTAATAACTGGAGACTGTCTGTGCCATAGGTTACTCTGATGGTCTGACAAAGGGAATGTTTCCCAGGTAGCTGTTGAAAATGTACAGTTTGAGTTCTTCATCCTGCTACAGTAGCTTCCAAAAGCGCAGGAGGATTGCGAGCGCACGCAAACGCTTTGGAGCACGCTAGACTGGAGAACCCAAGTCTTGTACTTGCTCTGGTCTTCTCTTCAGCGAGCCCTGCGCTCTGCCAGGACCACTTTCTAGTCTGGAAAAAACCACCCTTGGCATTTTCTTCTCCCTGCCTTCCCATTCTTCCCGCTCCTCCCCACTCAAGTCAGTTCTGTCTGCATGGGTAGCGACGGTTCCCAGTGCTTTCTGCCGGGAAAGCACATCCCTGTGTCCTCTGTGGTCCCACTTCCAGTCGCTTGGCTACTGATGGATGTGCAAAAGGGGACTGACTGAGAACCGTGTAGCCTGCAGATTGTCAGACTAGTTACACCCTGGCTGTGAAGATGCCATCTGTCACATGTACTCCTCTCTTTACTTCACTTTCCCTTTTTAAAACTGTCTCATCAAGGACCCTAGCTGGAGACTCGCGCAGCCCCCTGTGAAACCTGCCTTCTCACTCCCTTTTTTTTGGTGTGATTCAGGACTTTGGAGTCAGCAAAGACTGAGGAGCCCCCCCTTTGCTGTAATAAGAAACAGACATCAAGTCCCCCCTCTTGTCACTACAACCCTCTTGTTTTTATTTTTCCCACAACCCCCTTGAAATTGATGCAGTCTGGGCAATAGATGCAGTCTGACCCTTTGGATGTCATTTTTGTATCTTCGCTTTTTTACCAATTTGCCCCTAAGAACCCCCGAATAGGGGGCCAAAAAGCGTTGGAGGACCTGAAACTTTTACCTGAACCCGGGTTCTCCGGCGCTTCACAACCCAATGGGGCTACAGAGAAGCGTCTAAGCCAGTTCACAGAGCGAGCGTGTGTGGGGACTTCTCGCTGCCACGGACCCTTGATGCATGCTCCCCGCGCTCCAGTGGTCCCGTGTCAGAGGGCGGAGTTTTGGAAAGGAGGCCGCCAAAAATAAAAGGCAAAGAGACGGGATCGGCTGCAGCGGTTTCCCACAGGAGGAGGGAGTGTGCATCGGTCTGGTAACAAACAGAGAATGTTTCTCTCTTTAAAACAAAACAAAAAAAAAAAACCAAAAAAAAAAAAAAGGAAATCGCAAAAAATCTGTGTTTTATGTTGGATATTTTCAGAATATTCTTCTTAAAATGCAGATTTTTAATTTTTTTTTATAAGCTGTTAGGATGTTTACTGTAATACCATGCTTTTAAAAAAAATATGGAGTATTTTAGTAAATAGGTGCTTTTGGTACTTGAGGCGCTTTCAGCGAAGCGTTACACTAACATTTCCTTCGTTTCTGTCCCAGGAGTTTACAAAGTTTGTCATCCCCTAAAGCCCGGGGGCTTGATCTCCTAAATTTTCATAATATTTGGCACGCAAAATGATTTTAATCATTTCATTTTCTACTTCCATCTGAGACTGGAAGTAGAGAATCGCTGATGAATTCAGGATTGTCCAGTAAATTAAGGAAGCTTGCCAGAGCTGGACGGGAACAGCGTGGTGAAATGTTAGTGCAATGCACTCTGGTGATAACTACAAAGCTGAGTTAAGATAATCTAGGTCCGAATCATTTCTAATGAGTTGGCTCAATAATACTAAAATAATGAGTGTCTTAAGCTGTAGGCTAGGGAAAGTAGTTCGCTGTATTTTGTTAGGAGTGTAAGAGTAAATATTTTTTAAGATTGCCTTTTGTTTCATGTTACGGAGTGGAAGGTAAGTGATCTCATTACTGCTATTATTTGCTAGACTTCTCCCAACAGAGTAAAAGGTTTTCCGTGGCAGTTCTGCCCTTCCTCCACCCCAGTTTGCTCTGTCTGATGGTGGCATTTTCACTTTCCAGATTGTTTTTTTTTTCCAAACAAAACAAAACTAAATTTGATTAGCTAATCCACAGACATCGGTGCCTTTGACACAGGAAGACAGAGAAGTGCATTCCGGGGAGGACGAACTTGAGTGCAGGGCAAAACTGCTTTCAAATGACCTCTGTTTCTCAGGATGCTGATCTTTGTTCCTGACGATGGAAAGTTCGAGTCTTCTACTCTTTTGGGATGAGTCTGTCTTGTCTTTATTCCGTGCAATTACTAACTTTGTATTTTTTTTTTCTTATTACTGTCACCTGCATTCGTGCTCCCCACCTTTCGTTGGCACGTCCTCTCTTCTTCTCCCCTTTCCTCAACCCTCCCCCTTCACTGTGCTTCGCGCCTGGGCCCTTCACAAGACGTGGAAGATGTTAAATTTGTGATAAACTACGACTACCCGAACAGTTCCGAAGATTACGTGCACCGCATTGGCCGCACCGCACGTAGCACCAACAAAGGCACTGCCTACACCTTCTTCACGCCAGGGAACCTGAAACAAGCCAGGGAGCTTATCAAAGTCTTGGAAGAAGCCAATCAAGCCATCAATCCAAAGCTGATGCAGCTTGTGGACCACAGAGGAGGCGGAGGTGGTGGTGGAGGTAAAGGCACACGGGGGGAAAAGGGCTCCGTGGGGAATAGGTTCCCTATTTTGAGGGAGGGAAGATTGAAAGAGGGCAGGGAAGTAGTAAGTGCAAGTCTGAGATGACAAAAACACCTGTCTTGGACCCAAGGTCTCAACATGTTACATAGGTGTAGTGTTTCTAGGCAACAGAGAGGTAGTCCACTGAGTCTACTGTTTTACCTTAGCCATAGATTCTTTTTTCTTTTTTTTTTTTTTTTCTCCTGATTAGTTCCTCACAGAGCTAATTTCACTTTAATTAATTAATTCCTTGCAGCCCCTACCTCAGCACAGGCAGCAGGGTGTGTGTGCATGCACATGCAAAATTGACATAAGTGAAAGGGTGACTTTCACCTTCAGGGACTGGAAGTATTTGTAACTCCCATTCCATGAAAGAACAAGAAGTTTCCTTGTATTTCCAAGTTAATCCTGAATTTCTGCAGTTTCTTCATCTCCAAGCACGTGCATTAAGAACCCCTTTTTGAACTTCATATTTACACCTTGAACAAAACCTGGAGGCGTGTGCACGGCTGCACAGGGGAGTTGAGAGCTGGTCAAAAGACCTTCTTGCCCCTTGAGAGCAAACTCATGGCAGTAGAAGGGGCAGAAAGGGTGGCATGGTTGTACCAGAGTTCCTTGTTTAAGACTTGTTCATGGTACTAAATCTTAACATGTTCATCGCCAGGAGGTCGCTCTCGTTACCGAACGAGCAGTTCAGTAAACAACCCTAACCTGATGTACCAGGAGGAGTGTGACAGGAGGCTCCGGGGAGTCAAAGAGGGCCGCAGAGACTCGGGTGGCTTCAGAGACCGTGAGCGTGGTGACAGTTTTGCCAACGGAGCCAACAAGACCTATGGCAGTGCCTACGGGAGCCCAAATTCCGCTTTTGGGGCAGCACAGAGCCAGTATGGTTACACTCAAGGGAGCTATGGAGCAGCTGCCTATGGCACGAGTGGCTATGGCACTGCAGAGTACAGTGCTAGTGGCTATGGTGCCAGCACCACAGCTGCCACGGCTGGGAGAACCTCACAGAGCACTACCCAACAGCAGTATGCAGGGATGGTGGGGCGCTCGGGCCAGCAGCCG